AAACAGATTTTGACTCCTTAGATTCTTTCAAGGTTATTGACGACTTGCCTGAAACTAAAAAAGTCAATCTTGCTATAGTCAAATCAGACTATATTTGGGAAAATGTATTCTCCCGCTTTTCCAACTTTAATACACTGCAGCGAGTTTTAGCTTAAATATTCCGATTCACAATGTTAGTTAGGAAAAAATCTAATAATCAACGACACTTATCTGTTGAAAATCTCAGAATTGCCCATGATTTTATAATCAAACAAATTCAGCAGAAACACTTTGCTAAAGAAATACATTGTTTAAAGATAAACTCTCCCATTGTAAATAAACAACTGGTCCCTTTGAATATTTTTATAGATATTGACGGCCTACTTAGAGTGGGTGGCCGTCTGCAATTTTCTACTTTACCTTTTAATCAAAAATTTCCCTTATTATTACCTCAGAATGATCACGTTGTTAATTTATTCATTATACGTGAACATCGACGTCTAGGCCATAGCGGCGCTCAAAGTGTATTAGGCAATTTACGTCTTCAATACTGGCCGCTGAACGGCACTCGTCTTGTCAAAAAATTAATCAAATCTTGTGTAACCTGTTTCAGGTTCAATGCACAATTCGCATCCCAAATAATGGCCCCCTTACCGCTGGACCGAGTACAAGAATCTCGTCCATTTGCCAAGGTCGGCATAGACTTTGCGGGACCTATACTAATTAAGGCTTCCCAGTTAAAGAAAGCCCCCATTCCAAAGGCTTATATTGCTATATTTATATGTATGGTAACAAAAGCGATTCATATTGAATTAATTAGCGATCTTTCTACAGAAGCTTTTATAGCCACTCTGAAACGGTTTATTAGTCGTAGAGGTAACCCTCATACGATATATTCAGATAATGGATCCAATTTTATAGGTGCTCGTAATTAGCTACGAGAACTTTCCTCTTTTCTTAAATCCTCTGAGAAAATGGACAAAATTCAATCTTTTATATCTGCTACGGAAATTTCTTGGAAGTTTATTCCACCCCGTTCGCCGCACTGGGGCGGATTATGGGAAGCGGCTGTAAAAAGTGCCAAATCCCATCTCATTAAATCCATTGGTTCTACTGCTCTTACGTTTGAGGAGCTCTCCACTGCTCTCAATCAAATTGAAGCTGTGTTGAACAGTAGACCATTATACCCACTGTCCAATGACCCTAACGATCTGACTTCGTTGACTCCAGGTCATTTTTTGATCGGATGCCCCTTGACGGCTTATCCTGATCGTGATATCTCTTCTATCCCAGAGAATAGGTTAACATTCTGGAATCGTTGTACCAAAATAAAAGACGAATTCTGGAAAAGATGGAGCACCGACTATCTGCATCGACTTCAGCATAGACCTAAGTGGTGTAAATCATCTAATAACCTTCAACTTAATCGACTTGCATTAGTGAGAGCTGAAGACCGTCCCCCTATGAATTGGCCTCTTGCCAGAATCGTTGAATTAATAACTGGCAAGGATGGAAATGTCCGGGCTGCTTGCGTAAAAACGCAGGATGGCTTGTATACTCGTCCTATCACCAAACTGGCTCCTCTTCCTTGTGAGAATTAGGTGATATATTAGTTAGTTTATTTTAGTTTGTGTATCTTTTTCTTCTTCTAATAAATCTTTTCTTTTTCTAAATCCCCCCCCCCCCCCCAGTATGTACAAATTTACCATAAATTTGTACATTGTAAAAATCTTAGATTTTCATAACAAAACTCCCCTTATATCTAAACTTGGACTTTCTGCACCTGCGGAAGCAGAAGAAACAATAGAAAGTATTTGGCATACCTTCAAAACAACAATCACAACTATACAAAGAGAATAACTACAAGAAAAACTACAACTATCAGAAAAACAAAGAATACATGGATGACAAAAGAAGTCTTAGAACTGATGGGTATAAGGAGATCTTACAAAAATCGCAATGAAGAAAAATATAAAGAAACCCAGAGAATCATCCGCAAAAACATTAGGAAAGCCAAAGACGAATGGATGAGCATCAACTGTGAGGAACTGGGAGATTTACTTAAAAAGCATGACTACTTTAATGCATACAAAAAGATTAAGGAGGTCACAAATGTGAAGAAAAAAGTCACTACAACAACTTTAGTAGATGATAACAACCAAATATCCTATCTAGTCCAGAAAATGTAGGAGATATGTGGGAAAAATACATCAAAGCTCTGTTTGATGACGATAGAACAGAACCACAAAATAATATAGTACAAGAAACGATACTTGATATATTAACATCGGAAGTTACAAAAACAATCAATACGGCAAAGCTACGAAAAGAATAAGGTTCAGATGAATACGTAGAGATGATAAAGTTTATCAATGAAGAAAATCTTCAGACGTTAACACTATTATTTAACAAAATATATACCACTGGAATCTTCCCAGAAGACTGGTTGTACAAATTTACCATAAATTTGTACATTGTAAAAATCTTAGATTTTCATAACAAAACTCCCCTTATATCTAAACTTGGACTAGTCCCAAAAACCAGTCCATTTCTCGGTCCTGAACTGTTAGCAAGACCAACGAGTTTCTAAAAACCATATAGTCGCCAAGCAACCGTCTTAAGAAAAGGTCGAACAAGCAAGCGCTTGCGACCCGTCGAATTCATTTCTTCATTTATTCATTATTTCCTTATTTTCCAATTATCTAGTTTTTGTGGCTAGTATTGTTGGCAGTGAGTGCATGGTAACGAGTTAGATGCTGTGCCTTATTGTAAGTAGAAAATTTATATTTAATCTCAACTTTGCAATTGTTCCAAGTCGCGGTGTTGCCATATCGTGCCGCGAGTGCATAAACGATTTGTGATCCAACAATTTTAACATTTTAACAACGATTTTAATTTACATGTTATACAAGTTAAATCTTTACTTTTGATCCATAAACTATCACATGCTATTTTCTACAGTAATGTAGGCTATTTTCTTCTTGCAATAAAGATACGTTAAGGCTTTACATATTTAATATTTACACCTATCCCTTGTCAAGGGAACAACCTTTCAGGTGCTGGATTCTCCAGCTGGTCCTTCGAAGTTAAGGAGTATCTCAGAAGCTTTGTGCGATAAGAAAAATCTTTCTCCGAACCAGCAAAGTTCGCTAAGGCGAGCTCCTTATTCGTACAGTGGTTTAGATCGACATTTATACCTATACCCATGAAAATAAAGCAAATAGATGCTCACAGTTCAGATTAATTAGTCTGATGAGCCATTTTCTGAAAATTTTACTCAAAATTGTGCATCAACGAATATACAGAGAATGCGAAAGAAACCTGAGGGACAATCAATTTGGATTTCGTTCGGGGCTTGGTACAAGGGAGGCATTATTTGGCCTCCAGATATTCTTACAAAAATGCCGAGATCAGCGAAAAGACGTGTTTCTCTGTTTTATCGAATAGAACTCATAGAAACCCTAACACAACATGGTATAGACCGTAACACTGCAGCACTTATTATTAAAAAACTATATTGCGATCAAATGGCGTCGATCAAAATAGACAATCGTCTGACAGCAGAATTGCCAATAAAAAAAGGAATTCGTCAGGGCTGTGTACTTTCTCCACTATTATTTAATATATATTCAGAAAAGATCTTTCAAAATGACCTCCAAAGTATTGAAGAAGGAATAAAAATCAACGGGGAATACGTAAACAACATAAGATACTTAGACGACACCGTCATTATTGCGGACAGTGCTGAGGGTTTACACCGACTTTTGAATGTCATAACCAGAGAGGGAGATAGCTTGGGACTAAATATAAACACAAATAAAACAAAAGTAATGGCTGTTACACGTGCACGAAACGTCGACATTAATATTCGCAACTATAACAAACATATCGAACCAATACAAAGATGCCAGTATTTTGGTTGCTGGATAACAAACGATCTTGACCACGAGGACGAAATACGTGGTCGTATAGAATATGCTAGGTCTGCATTTCAACGAATGAAAAAATTTCTAATAAACTCTACGTTATCTCCGATACCAATTTGTAAAAACGTTTCTTTATTCCATATTGCTATACGGAGTGGAAACATGGACTATCAGAATGACAAGTATGAGGCGTATATAAGCTTTTGAGATGTGGGTTTTTGAAGAATGCTGAAGATATCTTGGACAGAGCACGTGACCAACAACGAGGTGTTAAGAAGAATGGGTACTGACACAGAACTGACAGAGAAAAACGAGTTATCTAGGACATATTTACAGAGGAGAAAAATACAACTTCCTACGACTTATAATGGAAGGGAAAGTAGAACGAAGAAGAGGTCCAGGAAGAAAAAAATGCTCCTGGTTGAAGAATGTAAGAGACTGGACAGGCATGGATACACATTCGATACTAAGAACAGCTCAAGATAGAGAGCAATTTGCTGTAGTTATAGCCAACCTTCAGTAATGGAGAAGGCACCTTAAGAAGAACCGTGGAAAATATTCTTACTATTGAAGACATTACACTGATCTGTCTATAGTTATGCATTGACTTTCGTGACCTATCCTTGTCATGTCTAAGATTAGATTCGCCAAGCTCAGTCTATGCTTCATCTTCAAGTGTTGTATTGGGAAAGTGAGCTTTCAAAAGGCATCACATTTTCTTCTTTGGTTTATCTTCTTTTGACATCTTTTAACAAAGTTTGTATTAATTAAAAAAATAGGATCCGAGCTCACGCACACACACACATAATAGCACACATAAAGAAAATTGTTATTAAATAATATAGAATACAGTTATCCCCAGTCGCTTTATTTTATTAAATCCAGAGACTAACCTTGTTAACTTGACTAACCCAACCTTGTAGTTTGGTAATACGATATCGATAATTACATGGCGATCTTGCATTTATCATCCTTACAAAATATCAGTGTATTATCATTGTTTTTTTACTGCTTTAAATTTTACTCTTATCATAAAGTGTGAGAATTTTTAAAATCTGTCTCAAGAGTTTTATAAAGTAATGTATTTTCTTTTAGGCTAACAGAATATCTGCTATACAATTTCTTTTTAAAGATTACACATTGGACAAAGATACTTGTAATGACTTGGCCATTAAAACGGAAGGGTTTGTTATTCAAGATTTAGTAGATTTTTGTAATAAAACCCTTTTCGAAATGTACAAATATGGTAAGGATATTGTGAAGTACTGGAAACAGTATAATTGGTGGTAGTGTATGTAATAATAATTTTGTGATCTTAATGGCTTTGGTAAGTTGCTTATCTAAAGTTCTCCCCCACGTTATTTTATGTCATGAAAGTTAAATTAATAAATATTCCGATGTGACATCGTGCCACTGAGCTCTACAGTACTCCACGCAGCACAGATTGGGAGAGGAAGCTCTTATCTCCGATATTCCGCGTTTTAAAAGAAGATAGAGACGTCCAAAGATATATATATATATATATATATATATATATATATATATATATATATATATATAAGACCATAGAACAGATGTTTATAACGTATAACCAAAGAAACTGTGAGATGTAATATCGTGCCCAAGGAGGCACGATACAGGGTTAAAAGTTATGGCGAAACGATGCCCTAGAGAGCTGGCAAACGCATGGAGATTATACGGCATTATACAGATTGTACAGACAAAAGAGTTAACCTAGAGGAGGACTTACAAATGAGTGACTTTTCTGACACCACATATAAAAATATAAATAGAACGAACAGAGAAACTACTGCGGCCACAAATTATGTGGCAATTAAGACTTCAATAAAGGGCCTACACGACAACACTCAGCGGCAATGAATCGGTAAAACGCAGAACCGCATGATGCGCAGTGTTAACTAACCTCTTTGACAATCTTGAATACCTTTTCACTCTCGTGTATATTGTCTCTTTTTCTATCCAAAAGAAATGCCGGTTCTGTAGGTACTATTGCGTCCTGTACTGCCCTATCCGCAAACTTTATTGATCTGAGCCATTGACCGTGGTCAGTTACGAGATAGCCACTACTCGCTTTTTACCATACGTGGCTAACCACGCTTAGTTTAGCCTGCGAATCAATGCATTTGACCGGGTGTGGCAGGAGCCATTGGTGAGAGTTTTGACAGAACTAATTATAAATAATTATTTTATATGTGGTAATTCCTAATAAGAGGTACTACCTATACAACAGACCCCCTACACCCCTATTCTACAATATCCTTCAGTATTTTGTTGATAACTTTCTTTGGGTCTATCCATTTTTATTCTGCAGTCCTAGTCATGTTACTAGTGTTTTTTTGGATACTTTTTTAATTAATTATAACACCTAGTTTATGTTTGATACTACATTTATTGTTTGAATAAGTTACTTATATCAGTGGATAATTTAGATTTAAATGTTCAACAATTATAAGATTAAGAGCGTAGGCGCAAAATTTCGGGTCAATGCTTTTTAAATGCATTCATTTTTTTTTCGAACTCTGAGAAAACTAATAAATAGTTTTGAAAAATTTAAACGCAGAATGAAAGAATACATTATTACCGAGGGCCGAAAGTCCTTGAAAACTTCTATAATCTTTATTTTAATTGGCCCGAAATGTTGCGCCTACGATCTTAATGACAATAATGAATTCTAGAACCAGAAGTTTCCACAACAACTTTGATAAAATCTAAATATTTGGAAACAGCTCTAAAAAATACAACTGTCATGTCTTTACAAAATGTCCAACTACATTCGCCAGGCGACAAAAATTTTTCTAGTGTAGGAGGCTTACAGGAAATAAAGGAAATATTGCTTGAGAACTTGCTTTGGCCTAGTCAGGTAAGAACACAACTTAATATATTATAATAATAATTATAATAAAATTATGATAAAAAAAACCACTATATCATATAACAAAGGAGATTCCATAGTGACCGATTAATGGAAAAGTGATAAATTATAAGGATCTCATGAGAATAGTAAAAAATTGCAAAAACTCTTCACCTTTAAAACGCCTTTCGCTTTTTGTCGATAGGATATTCAGATCTACAGATATCGAATTTTTCCCGTTGAGTTGAAACACATTTTGTTTAAAATTGATTTCGCACGTGTAGCTGACATTAAAAATCGCCGGTCGCTTTAAAATAAATAAATAAATTTATTTAAAACAAAATTAAGCAGCTTAAAACAGCTTTTTTGGAATTTGATCATGCGTTTTTAGGTGACTCTATTCGAGCTACATTGTACCACTTGATTTTAAACGTTTTTAATTTCCCGCGCATTTGGCTTTTGTAATGACAATAAACAAATCACAAAGCCATCCGTTGGAAGTTGGCGGAATTATCTTGAAGTTTTCATGTTTTGCGCATAAACAATTATTCGCGCATCGGAAAACCGTCATTGTTGTATATTTGTGAAACGCAAAAAAATATTGTTTATAAGAAATATCAGAAAACACACACACACACACATATCGTCGCCTCAAAGCAACAGTAGGATATGTAAAAAAAATGAATTCTGTGATATTTATGTCAAATGATTCGAAATAAACCCTTCTGTTTAGTGTAACACTAGGATAAATAAAAAGTGATACACTTTTTTCATAATATTACATATCTTTGTGTAGCTTAATACCTTTTAGCCCAAATTTTATAATGCAACACTAAGACAACATACATATCATACCATTATATTTTGTCGTTTACCCATTTTGGTCATCAATATTAATGCAACAAGTTATCTTACGCACATATCCTACTGTTGCCATGTACTTATTGCTGAGTTGCGATTATGTCTTTGTTTATACTATCCAGCTTGCAGTCACAAATTTATCTTTAGTAATCTTAAACAATAGTTCTATTACATTGATATTCTTCTTCTTCTTCTACTTTTTGTAGATCTTTCGATCTGTTTAATTCTGAAGCTGCCTCTAGTTAATTTCTTGGGAGGTAGATTGCCAACTATCCCTCCATCTTTTAGGTGGTCTTCTGGGGGGTCTTGAACCGGGCGGATTGTTTTCTAGGGCAATTTTTGGGAGTCTATTCTCATCCATTCGTCTTACATGGTTGTACCACATCCTCTTGCGCTGCCTTCCCCATCTTACAATATCTTGAATTTTACACTGCTCTCTAATGTTTGTTATTCTCGCTCTGTCTCTTCTTGTTTTCCCCATTATTGTTCTTAGGATTTTTATTTCGGCAAACCAGCATCTGTTTCGTTTTGTTAGTATCTTCGCGCACTTCTATGCCATATGTCATGATCAGTCGAATGCAAGTCTTATAGATTCTAATTTTACTATCTGTGCGCATATACGGATTTGACCAGACTATCTCCCGCAGACATCCTGACTGTGCAGATGCTTTATTGATTTGACTCCTCAGGTCCTTTACTGGGTCGTGGGTGCTTGATATATCTATGCCCAGATATCTGAATTGCATCACCTGTTCTATGGGGTTATCCTCAACCACCTTAATCGCCTATTAGCATTATGGAAAGCTCAAATGTAGTTTATAGAATACCATGCCAAAATTGTGATAAGTCATACATCGGACACACATCTAGAAATCTAATAGGTAGACTAACATCACATAAAAGTGACCTTAGAAATAATAAAAATACGTGTGCATTAATAGATCATGCAATTAATAATAATCATTCATTTAATTTTAATGAAACTAATATATTAAGACGTGAAAACCAAATAAATAAAAGAGAATTTTTAGAAATGGTATGCATAAATAAATATCAATGCGTTAATAAAAAAACTGATATTAACAAACTCAGCAATATCTATAATTACATTCTATCTTACGAAAATTAATACTTTAATTTTCTAATATATGATTTTCTGACTATAAATACTATATTTTCAAAAATTTAAATATTCATATTTGGCGCCACTTTTTACGTAAGCATAATAACAATCTAGAGCTAATTATCAATAATAAAAACAGACACGAGTGTCTTTCTGACATATATCAAACATCATTATTAATCAATGTCATAATATATTCAAAATTAAAATATTGTACTTGCATAAAAATATATTTAGAAAAATTAATAATGTTTTGTGAATTTAATAATTTAATGGTTTAACCTCATGTTGTAAGTTTTTATATAGTTTTATACAATGTTTTTCTTAATTCTAATTTCATTGTATTTACCATAACATATTTTAGCATATCCTGATGAAGCAAATAAATTTTGCGAAAGCTTGATTTAAGAACAAAGAGTTTTACTTATCCTGCCCTACTTAAATGACTGCATCCTCAAAATAAAACTTTAGTTTATATATATATATATATATATATATATATATATATATATATATATATATATATATATATATATATATATATATATATAGTACTTAATCTGTTTCAACTCGGAAACCAGATAATTTTTTTATGTTTATTTACTCATATTACAGTATCCAAATCTTTTTGCTAACGCTCCACTTCGGCTTCAATCTGGACTATTACTTTATGGACCTCCAGGCACTGGTAAAACTCTAATTGCAGCTGCAGCGGCGAAACAGTGTGGATTGAGGTTAATTTCTGTTAAAGGCCCAGAATTATTATCCAAATACATTGGCGCTAGTGAGCAGGCAGTTAGGGATATATTTCAAAAGTATGGTAACTCTGTCCTTTAAAACCAAATGAATGCATTTATTTTGTTTCTTTTTTTTAGAGCTCAGAGCGCAAGACCCTGCATATTATTTTTTGATGAATTTGATAGTTTAGCACCCAGGTAAATATTCTGTAGTAATTTAGATTTTTAAGTTAAAGAAATCAGCAATTAGAATATAGAAAATTAATAGTGCACTATTCTGGAGAAGAATATTGATTTTTATAGGTTCAGGAATTGCTAAAATTAAATTCAGGCTTTTTTATTTATACTATCGCAGTATAATCTCTTAATTTTACAATTACATATAGGTTTTATCATCTGTTATTGATCTGAAATGGTAATAAATATTAAATAGGGTGGTTGATCATCCTTGTCTCAAACCTTTAGTTGTTTTAAACGGAAAGATTTAAACCGCATTTGTTTTAATGGCTTACGGAAACTATGAATTTTGAATCATCAATATTCATCCTAACCCGAGGTAGCAACACCCTATCAATATATATATATATATATATATATATATATATATATATATATATATATATATATATATATATATATATATATAACTGTTTTAGACGTGGTCATGACAATACAGGCGTAACGGATAGAGTAGTGAATCAACTACTTACTCAATTAGATGGTGTCGAATCTTTGACAGGTGTGTGCGTTTTGGCAGCTACTTCGAGACCTGATCTTTTGGATTCGGCATTGCTGAGACCCGGAAGGCTCGACAAGCAGTTATTATGTCCACTACCCAATGAGGTAAAGTACTGAATTCAAACTTTTTAGTTTTAGAATGACAAAATTTGCAAAAAAATTAAAGTAAACTAAAATAAATAAATAAATAAATGAATTAACAAAAATAAATCAAAATTAATTATTACGTAGCAAATTAATTAGCAAAGTCAATATAGGCGTATAATATATCCCCATATTAAGAATACTAGAGAATTGAGGGATTTCGCTTTGACGGCAGACAAATGGCACCTCTATGCACGAACCACTGAAAGTGGAAAGTATTTTGGAGATATTGGTTCGACCTTTTGAGTTTGAATTTGAATCAGATCGAGCGTCTGACGAGGTAGAGATACGGAAATAACAGTTATATCGTTTTATTGATTTCGATTCAAACGTGAAAGGTTTGACTAAATTTGTGCTCCAACGCCATAATTTTTTATTAGTAGGGGAGGGTTTTACACAATGAGACAAAAAACACATTTTTATTTATAACATTGACATTTTTGAATTTGTCTACAAACTGAGTTAACCAGGCATCAATGATTATTTTCTTAATATAATCTGAAATGAATATTCCCTCATGAGTGAAGAAACAAAATCTATGATTATTTTTCTAACCATCTACATCTGTCTCATTGTGTACCATTGGTGGTACACAATGAGTCAAGTGATATTATTTCAATAATTTGTTACAGTAAATACATCTTCTTCTTCTAGTTCCATGACCGTTATCGATCGTTGGATATCATGTTGGCTACCATATTCGCTATCGTGACTTTATTGACAGCAGCTCTAAATAACGATGTAGTTGATTTTCCATACCATTGCCTTAGATTTTTCAGCCATGATGTTCTTCTTCTACCAGGACCACGATTACCTTGGATCTTTCCCTGAATGATCAGATGTAAAAGATCATATTTTTCAGGGTGTCTCATAATATGACCGAAGTATTCCAGCTTGCGTTTCTTTATTATATTGACCAGTTGTGTTGTTTGGTTCAGCCGTCTAAGGACCTCCTCATTTCTAACTCTGTCGACCCAGCTTATTTTCAGTAGTCGTCTGTATACCCACATCTCAAAGGCTGTCAAGCGTTTAAGCATAGCCTCAGTTAGAGTCCACGCTTCTACTCCATACAGCAGGACAGGAAAGATGTAGCAAGATATCATACGAACTCTAAGGTCAATGCTAAGATCATAACTGCAAAGTACGTTTCTCATTTTTACAAAGGCAGCTCGGGCTTGTTCTATTCGGCTTTTAATTTCTGCGGTTGGATCCCAGCTCTCATTGATATTACTGCCGAGATACACGAGTTTCTCTACTCTGTCCAGTGTTGCATCTCCGACTTTTATACCGTCATCATGTATATAATTTTGTTTGCTAACTATCATATATTTAGTTTTCTTAACGTTGAGTTTTAATCCATACTGATTACAAGTCTGTTTTATTTTGTTCATTAGATTTTGAAGGTCTTCTCCGCAATTGGCAAGGACTAAGGTATCGTCGGCATATCTAATATTGTTGACGGTTACTCCATTCACAATAATACCTTCGGTTGTCTCCATTAAGGCTTCCTTAAATATTTCCTCCGAATATAAGTTAAAAAGTAAAGGCGACAATATACAGCCTTGTCTCACTCCTCTTTTTATATTTATTTCATCCGACAGTTCTTGTTCAACCTTTATTCTTGCCACTTGATGCCAGTATAGATTTGTAATTATTCGTAGATCTTTATCGTCCAATCCAGCTGTTTCCAATATTTCTAGCATTTTGTTATGTCGGACTTTGTCAAAAGCTTTTTCAAAATCGATTGCACAAATATACACATTTTGATTTATATCTCTGCATCTCTGCATAAATAAATACATAGAGTGTAGTTTTTATTTTCGAAAATAGCAATTTTACAGGTACAATAGAAAACTGAAATGAACGAAGATTTTAACGGATCTTAATACTGTCAAACTTTACATCAAATTTGAAATTAGATGCAAGGCGCTTGTTTTTTGATCTACATTTTTTGGTTTTTGTAGAATTGAAACAACGTTTGACCTTCCTACTGCAGCAATGTCTTCAACTACAGGAAAAATAAAGCAGCCTTGAAGCTTACCACTTTTTCTTAAAAATATCACTTTAAATTCATTATCGTCTAATGTCTTGAGAACTTTAGCAGCATAAAATATATTGTTTTCAAATTTCACTAATACAAAACTATCAATGGAAATTTCTGTACTGAAATCTACTCCTCGGATGAAGTGCTATCACTTCGTTTATGTTTTTTCTGCTTTGGTGCCGAGCCGCTTACCTTATTTAAATTGACCTTAATTCATTTATTATTCTGAGTAGTCATTTTTTGGTTGTTGCTTGCAGTTTTAACTGATCTGAGTCAGGTATGTTAGTTAAAATTGCACTTTTTAGTTTTCCTTGCCTTTACACCTTTTCTCTTTTCTGCTTTTGGAAATCCTTTAAACTCATGAGGAGAGATGAAAGAACTTGAATTCGCAGATGATACTATTGACTTAGCGTTTTGAGACATTATCGGTTTTTCAGGTATCCTTGGTGGGGTCTTGATTTTCAGGTGTCTTCGATGAGGATGAGTGATATAACTTGAATGGAAAGCATACTAGACATTTCTGACGGCTTTGGTTGTGGATTTGGCTATTCAGTTTCATTTTGTCTATCAGTCACAATGAAGTCAGCTTCAGAAAAAATGTCTCTTTTAAGGGGAAAAATTCTCGTTTTATTAAAACCTGACAATATATTAGTAGGTATTAATGCTTTCATATGTACCTCTCTTACACATTTTTTTATCTGGTATATTAAAATAGGTTTACGAGGATGGTTCAGCAACCATGAGTCTATAGCGGCATTGTAATACGCTTTAAAGGAAGAGAAAATGAAGGGGTTGCAGTTTGTTACTACAATGTGGAGGCAGATACAGTATGACTACACCATTATCCTTTGCCAGTTGAAGAACTTGATATGTTACGTGACTCTTATGACACGTAGATCAGTATGGAAGAGTTTTCAATTGAACTGTTAAACTTGATGAAATGTTTTATAACGTCGACAAACAGCTCGCTATTCATCCATCCACTTGGATTTGCCAAACCCAGTGTGCCAGGTGGAGCTCCTTGTGTCATATGCTCCTTATAATATTTCCTTAAAAAAACCATAAGAGGAAGCAGAAACGTACTATTCGCACATACAATTACACATGTAGTAATAAGAATTACCGCTTTCACCGCTAGTACAACTATTCAGCTGTTTTACACCTTTCTCCGCCACGACTTTCTTAGGTTTCTACACCGATGTTGTACTAGTCTCATCAAGGTTATATATCCTGATATTAGACAGAGCTGATGGATATCTAGAATAAACGACATGTAAATTGTTTAAGAACTTGTTGACGCATACTGAGGTTCCCACGCCTATTTAAAAATGAACGGAACCAATGGAGTCCAGCTATTTGGTCTTTGATCCAATTAACTGGAACTGGAATATTGTTTTTAATTGCCATATCATATGCTACCTTTCGTACTTGAATGGTTGTTAATCCGTAGCTAATATTGCTACAAGTTTTGATATAGTCACACAGAGAAATTTCCCGTTTCTCTGAAAACACACGTCGTACAGCATAATTGGGTTCCATTAAATCATCATCTGGATTAGTACGTTTTTTGTGACATATCTTTGTAATGTCTGAAATTTTACGCCGTGTTCAACGGCAGCAATTCTTAATGATTTTTCGTCCAAAACATCTTGTACTGCACTTGCCATATCATCGGAGCTGAATGTCGCTCGGTTTGGGTTTTCTTTGCGCACCATGTCTGTAACAAAAATAATAAACTTTCATTCTACTTATACAACATATCATTATAGCATGAGAACCTGGTACAAATTTTAGTAGTACACAATGGGACAGTCTCATTGTGTACTATCACCCGGTGTCTCATTGTATACCAAGTAGCATTGTTATAAACAAATGCAAATAATCATATTTAATTTTTAGTTTTGAGACACGACTATTTGAGGTTAGACTAACTTAACTGTAGTATTTAACGCATACACTTGCAAATTGACACAAATCAACAATTAGTTCTAATAATAAGTCAACAAAACTATATAAAAAGTAACTTCTTACCTTAATTAAACGGTTTATCACTGTAACTTTTACGAGGTTACGAATGAAATGGTTGTATTTTGACTGATGCTGTAAAATGACATTTCTGAGATAGTGTTGGTTGCGGAATTGAAACTTGTGGTAAATTTAAATTTAAACAATTTTAAAATTAAAAAATTTAAAAATTTATTTTAAATTTTTAAATTTAAATAAAAAAAAATTGGAATGTCTTATTGTGTACCATGTCTCATTGTGTAGTACTCTTCCCTACAATTGCTACCGCCATATTTGCTCCAACGCCATAATTGCTCCAAGTAATTTCATAAAAAGTGCAATTTTGTTACCTGTCAACAAATATAAACTATTAAACTTTTTCTCGTCACAGAAAACTATTCTTCTCTTTTATAGCATATTGTTTATTTTCGAATATGCTATATTATTAGAATTTTATGACTGGTTTAGTCTTGAACATAAATATTTAACACATATTTATAGACTACAAAGCAGCCTACTACTCTGTAAATAGAAGAGAAATGTTCAAAGCAATGAAAGAGCTAGGAATACCGAATCAGTTGGTAAATTTAACAAAACTAACTCTTGTTGAATGTAGAGTACGAATTCAAGGTGAAATGTCTGAACCTTTTAAAACAAATAACGGGCTGCGTCAAGGAGCCCCTTTCTTTTGTATACAGTTCAATCTGGCTCTGGAAAAAGTAATACGTATGTCACAAATCACAACCATTGGTTCAATATATAATTAATGATTGCAAATCCTTGTCTATACCGATGATATCAATTTTGTTGGGAGAACGGAAAACGCCGTACGAAAGGTGTATGCATTAAAAGAATCAGTTACAAAAATGGGTTTAAAAATAAACACCAACAAAACGAAGTATATGAAAATATA